CGATGAATCGGGGGGATTGATGAACGCGCTAAAATCTTCGACGGGAGAGTGCATCGGGTCGCGCGGTCCGTGGCTCGCCGACGTGCGTCTGCTGTGGCCTCCACGACTCCCAGAGCTATGGATCCAGGTGTGGGGATCCCCTGGGCTCGGTGATCGCGCCTTCTGCTTGCCCCACGCTTTGACAGAGAGCGGCATCTGCTCGTCCTGGCCGAGTCCCTGGGCAGCAATGGTGTTCATCGCATTCGATGTGAAGGGTGATGAGAAAGATGGGGAGAGATTCGGAATAGACGATGGAGGAGCCGAGTGCGAAGGCGATGGGAACGCAGGATACGACGGTGTCGCTGGAGACATCGCAGAGGACGGCAGCGTCGGGTAAGATTTCGAGGGCTGGGGAAGCAATGCGTGCGGCCGAGGTTTTGACCTGTACACCGTCGACGGGCCCTCCTGGAGTTGCATCTGCAATGGCGAAAACTGCGGGCGCATCTCCTTGTGTGTCGGCGACGGCGACCTCTGCGTCGTCGCCGGCGCCACCTCTACCATCTTCTTCCCACCAGTCACCTTCTGCCCCTCATCCCGCTGCTGCTGCCGCCGCCGCGCCTTACCCTCCTCCGCCGCGGGCCACATTCCACGTACAGGCCCACCCGCCGACATCTCCCCACCCGCCCCTTTCCCGTCTCCCAACGGCCACACAAGGCATCCCCGTACACGGACACCGGCACCGGCGAAAGCATGCTCCGCACCCGCACCCGCTTCGACGCCCAGATGCAGCAGCATCCCCGCATACGCCGCCCGATCCGCCTCCTCCACCTCCAAATCCCAATGCAGACGCACCACCCCCTCCGCTGTCGGCTCGTCGCACCACCCGCTCGGTCGACGCTGCTTCTGCTTCTCCTTCTGCGGGGGCGCGGAGACGAGCAACTCCTCGTCCCGCGGACGCGGCGCCCGCCGGATGCGCCTCTCCTGCCCGTTGTCCGTTTCCTCGCTCTGGTTCTCGGTGTGCTTCGAGGGCGCCCGGCGTGCTGCCTTGCGCTTCACGCCCACCACCGTCGCCGCCTCGCGAACGGCCTTCCCGACGGGAATCGTCCCCCCGCGCTCGTTCTGCGCGAACGCCTGGTTAAACACGGCGCCCAGTGAGGGCGCTCCGTCCTGCGCGGCCGCTGCTTCGGCGTCGTCGTCGTCGTCTTCTTCCTCCTCACTCTCCATCTTGATTCGCCGCCCGGTCGTGTACGACCTCGATTTCGATTTCGATTTCGCCGCCCTGCTCGTGCTCGCACGCGCAACACTCCTCTTCCCGTCGTCGCTCTCGCTCCCGCTCTCATCTTCCCCGTCCCTCCCCCACCTCGAAGCCGACGCCGACGCCGTACTCCTCCCCCGCCCCGCATACGTCCTGATCACGCTTCCGCTTTTGCTCCTCCCCACCTCCCTCGTCGTCTCCACCCGCGCACGTTTCAGAGGATACGGCGCCCGCGGCACAAGCACCCACGCCATCTCCTCCCGCTTGCGTTTCTTGTGCGTATGCGTGTCTTGCGTATCGTCCCCGCGCACCACCTTCCTCGCAACCCCCACCCCCGGCGCCGGCGGGGGCCGCTTCTTCCTCCTCTCCCGTTCCCGTTCCCGTTCCCCCTCCTCCTCGGACTGTTGCTCGGGCTCGTGCGGCGGCGGCGTGAACAAATCCCCCACGTCCATCTCCATCTGCAGCATCGGCGGCGGCGTGAACAGCTCGTACACCCCGGGCCCCTCCGCCTCCGCCTCCCCCCGCTCCGACTGCACATCATCCTCGCTCTCACTCGCATAAAAGTTGAGCAGATCGAGCTGGTTCTTGGGCCCGAGCGCGAGGTCGAGGTCGGGCGAGGAGGGCATGAAGAGGAGTTGTTCTTCTTGCTGGGGCTGCGGAGGTGAAGTAGGGAGGTAGTCAGTTTCAAGTCGGAGCAGAATATGAGCAGGGCGACATACCTGATACGGAAGCGCGTCTCGGTCCGTGCTGTTGTCGGACCCGGCGGACGCATCGGCGGCGACACTCTTCGCGTTATCGCTACGGGCAGCCTGCGCGCGTAAATCAGTATCACTGTCAGCACATGGACGAAGTAGAAAGTTTGTAAAAGAAAAAAATCGCAGTCATGCGCTTGACGTCCTCACTCCCGCGCGTACACGGAACGAGAACGCCAACGCGAATGTCGCCGTTGACGTTGCGCATGACGCACGACGCCCGCTAGCTCGACGAGCCCACCCGACAACGGTGGGTGGAAACGACATCGTCCCCCCCACCACCCCTTCTCTCCTTCCCCAAATCCTTCTCCTCTCCCTCCCCCCCTCATAAAAAAAAAAAGCGAAACCCACCTTCTCCTTCTCCCTGACCATCCTCGACTCGTACCGCACCGCCTGCACCTTGTTCTTATTCTTTTCCTTGTCCTTCTCGCGCTCCCTGTCCTTGTCCTCGTCCTCGTCCGTGTCCGTGTCACTGTCCTTGTCCTGCTCGCGCTCCCTCGGCTTAGGTTTTTCGCGCCTGTTCGAGCCTTGCACGTCCGCGCCCGCGCTCGGATTGACGCGGATGCCCGGCGGACCGCGACGCGCTCGCGAAGCCGCAGAGGTCGAGGACGACGCGGCGGAGGGCGGGACCGCGCTCGGATTGGCGCGGATGCCCGGCGGGCCGCGACGCGCTCGCGCTCGCGAAGCCGAAGAGGTCGAGGACGAGGTGGAGGATAATGCGGTGGAGGCGGGGGGTTGCTCCTAAAAGTAGGGAAGGGCGTGAGTATCGTGTTGTCATGCAGGAATGAGAAGATTGGAAGGAAGTGGGAAGGAAGGGAGATGATTGGAAGGAGGAGAGGGACTACGAAGAGATAGAGAAAGCAGGCAGGCAGGCGAAGCAAAATGGGACGAAGAGAGAAAAAAGGTAACCAAGAGGCGTACAATACAGTCGGTAGAGGTCCAGTCGTGAGCCGCAAGTAACCGCAAGCAGGTAGCAGGTAGCAGGTAGCAGCAGGATAGCGGGACAAGACGAGAAGAAAAAAAAGGAGGCTAGACGGAGACAGAGACCGGAGAAAGCCCGAAAGGGCGATCGCTCGATCGTCTTCGATCATCCGTGCCAACGCGGAGGAAAAAGGTATGGTGGGCTGGACGCAAGCAAGCTCCACCCTCCTCCTCCTCCTCCTCCTCCTCCTCCAAAAGCCACAGAATGGGAGAACCGCACGAACGAAAGAGAAAGGGGAAAAAGTCCGTGCATCGCAAAGATACGCGAAGGATGGATGGAAGTTCACGAACCGGATACACCCCCGTCCACCACGACCCGCCCGCCGCCGCCGTCGCGCTCCCCGCCCTCGGTCCCGCGCTCGTACTCGTGGTCCTCGCCGTCGTCGTGGGGGGCGACGGCGACAGACTCGACAGCGGCGAGGAGGAGCGTTGCGATTGCGATGCTGTGTTTGCTTTTGAGGGTTTGGATTTTGATTTTGCCTTGCCTACCGCTGCCTTTGTCGTCGAGGTAGACGCGGACTTGCGCCCCCTTGCCCTGCCGCCGCCGCCGTGCCCGTCCTTAACGCCATCACCGCTTTCCTCCCACTCCCTCCTTCTCTCCTTCACACGCTCACTCTCCCTTTCTCGTTCTTTTTGCGCCCGCACATTCTCGGGCGTAGGCGGCGGCGACGGCGCCCGCCCCACATTCCTCAACGCGGTGGGCGAGTTGAGCGCGGACGGCGCGGCGCGGCCGCGGCGGGAGAGGCTGAGGCCCATGCCCATTCCGCCTCCCATGCCGCCGCGGCCCATCGCGCCTGTGTCCATTCCGCCGCTTAGGGTCATTGACAGTCCCAGTGTCGATGAGCTGGACCCGGCGCCAAAATTGTCATCATCATTGGGCGCATTGGGATGGGTACGGGTATTTGGATGTGGGGGCAGCAGCGTGGGGTCGGGCGGGCCGAAGGTCGGTAAAGCTTGGGCGTTCGCGGAGGGGCCGGTCGGCAAAGGCATACTGGGTGCGCGGAGTAGGGAGGAGTGGGAGCCGAAAGATGCAGATGTGGATGCAGCGTTGGCTGATAACGCGGTATTACTGGTAATTGAAGTTGGGGACAGGCCCAGCGCCGCTCCCAAGCTCGATTCGTTTGTCAAAATTGCGGGCACGAGTGGTTTCTGTACATAAAAGCGCGCATTTGGTGGGTGGGATGCGAATCAAGATTAAAATGGACACGCACGGTCAATAGCTGGCGGGGTGGGCCAAAGTACACTGGCAATCCCTGAGTGGCCTGGCCGTTGTCTGGGTATCCGTTCTGTGTCTAGTATGGTCAGATAGATAACGCCAAGAATACATCGATAAAGAAAGCTCACCTGTCCGTCCCCGCTCCCGCCGCCATTCTTCAACACCATTCCTCCTGTCTGCCCCGGATTCGCGTCCCCGGAGTCTTCTCTCCTCGCCGATGCCACCGAATTTGCTGTATTCTTTTTACTGCTTGCACTTGCACCTGAACTCGAGCTCGCCGTGGATGAAGTTCTCTGTGGACTCATTGACCCGTCCCAGTTGGCCAGCGACGAGTCCATGGCCCACCGCGAGTGTCCGTGCGGCGTTGAATAAGTGCTGTAAAGAACTGAAGGAAATCCAAAAGGCGCAGGGATTTGGTCGTATTTACATCACCCGGATTTGGACGCCTCGTTTTTCGTCCATCAACTCGACATCACCAGCAAGCGAGTTGGCCGGCTCCGCGTGCACGAAGCTTGAGCTTGATGACTCGCACGGCGGCGTGCGTGAAATTTGAGCCCGGTCCCGAGCTCGTGCAAACAACATTTCTTCGAATTAAACCCAGTTTACTACCACCTGCCTACAAACGTTAACGCAGACATGGTGTAACGCAAACACGACCTCTGCCTCTTGCAGTTAAGTGTCGAAATTCAGAGGTCACTCGAGGTTCGACTCCCCGTGCCTGCTTTCGATGTCGGTTAAGTAACACTTTTTGAAATTCTCAACCCCCCACGACGAAAAAACCACAATCACACATACAGCTAAACTCCGAAACCAGAAAGCAGACATGGTGTAACCGGTAACACGGCCTCGCCACTTAAGGAAAAGAGCGTGGTTCTACGAGGTAGCCGAGGGTTCGACTCCCTCTGTCTACATGCATGAATTGGATAACTTTTTGTGCATGTTCGCTTTTTTTCCTCTGGTTCTATCTGTTTGTGCGTAAGTGATTCGTTTTTACTTCCGTGTTCTTTACTGGCTAATTCTTCGGTGCGTAGATGAACCAACGAGTCCTTCGGTTCAACTTTCAGCGGCCAAGGAAATTTGTCCAGATCCAGAGCGCTGAAAAATTTAACCCGACAACCTCACGAACGTCCCTGTCCTAAAAATCGGACATGGTGTACGGTACACGCCCTCTCTCGTTATACTGGAGGGATCCTTGACAATACAAGAGGGAATATTATCCGGGGTTCGACTCCCCGTGTTCGAATGGTTCGCTTGCGGCGCTTCTTTTTTCTCCTTCGCCCCAGAAAAGCCCGCAACCGCTCAGGTTTCAGCCAAGCCAGAAGAATACCTACTCTGGCATGCCAGTGGTTACTCCAATACCATTTGTTCACAGACAATCTCACACGAATCCGAACCTCTTCGCCCGTTTGGACCATAAACAAACAGTTGGCTTCATCTATTGACCTTTCTAGCTATACTAGAAATCGGACATGGTGTACGGTACACACCCTCGCCTATTGCAGGCTTGGTCGCAGGATGCGGAAGGGAATCCGGGGTTCGACTCCCCGTGTCCGAATGTTGAATCTCTCCCATGACCTAAACTTTTTTTTTTCTCCTTCCCTTCAATCCCCCCTTCCTCAGCAAAACCATCAACCTGCTCAGCTTTTAGTCAAGCCGGAAGAATACTTACTCTGGCATGCCAGTGGTATACTCATCGAGAACAGGTTCACAGAAGGAATTCGAACCTCTTCACTGGCACCTTTGGACCGTAAACGAACAGCTGGTTTAAATTTACAAAACGTCGCCCGGGGCCTACCCGCCGTGAGATGCTTCACAGTCAGACCAGAAATCGGGCATGGTGTACGGTACATGCCCTCTCTCCGTTATAATGGAGGGATCCATGATAATACAAGAGGGAATCCGGGGTTCGACTCTAGGGTCCTGTTTATAATTCCCGGGGCAATTATAAACGGTTTATAATTTTTGGTTTATAAACAGGCCGTTTATAAACATGTTTATAAACACCGCCCCTAAAATCGGCTAAAATTCGAGTTTTTCGACTTCCCCCTCCCACCGCTTCCTCTGTGGGCCTTTTTTGCCGCCTTCTACGCCTCCTGCACTCCTCTCCGACCAATTAGCGAGACTTCCAATCTGCACCCGGGATGGCCTTGTTTCTCCCGCGGGCGTTCGACGAGGCCCAAACGAGCGACCAATGGCATGGGCGACCACCGACTTGGCGCAGCCCGTCTCATCCACTGTCCCTCCTCCATCAGGAGGGTATCCTCTGAAGTTGTGGTCAACTCCGACTGGGATGGTTTCCGGGAGGCGTTGCAGAAGCCGGAGGAGTTCTTTGATCTCTTCATGATAGTATGTAGTTGGCCCCAGACCCGGACTTAGACATGATGAACGGCGGGAAGGGCGGGAGCGCCGCGCTACTTCCTTTGACGTGTGTCGTGGAGGATGTCAGAAAAAATTGTTCGGAGATCACCACCCTGTGGCTGTGCGAATTAAAAACCGGTCCTTTCTGGCCGACCATTATAAACCGGGTTTATAAACCGGTGTTTAAAAATATGTTTATTAACCGGACTTATAAACAGAACCCTATTCGACTCCCCATGTCCGAATGTTGCCGAGGACATAACCTTTTTTAATCCATTTCCAAAGGAAATTGCTCAAGCAACTTCGCAACCTGCTCAGCCACTGTAACAATTTGAATGTGAACTTGAAATCGAACAACAAACAACCTCTTCTTTCAAAGAAGTGAGTGGTGCCCTCGAATACCCGCCCAATTCTGCTCATCTGTTGACCTTTCCAGCTGTACCAGAAATCGGACATGGTGTAAGGTACACACTCTCGTTTCTTAGTGGGGTGACGCGATGCAAGAGGGAATCTGGGGTTCGACTCCCCGTGTCCGAATGTTGGATGTCGTCGACCACCTAAACTTTTTTTTTTCCGTTTCCAAAGAAAATTGCTCAAGCAACTCCGTAACCCGCTCTTGGCACTGTAACACTTTGAACTTGAAGTCGAACAACAAGCAACCTCTTCTCAAAGTGAGTCGTGCCCTCAAACACCCGCCCAATCCTGCTCACTTGTTGACCTTTCCAGCTGTACCAGAAATCGGGCATGGTGTACGGTACACACCCTCGTTTCTTGCAGGCTTGGTCACAGGATGCGGGAGGGAATCCGGGGTTCGACTCCCCGTGTTAGAATGTTGAATCTCTCCCACGGCCTAAACTTTTTTTCTTCTCCTTCCCTTCAATCCCCCCTTCCCAGCAAAACCCGCAACCCGTTCAGGTTTCAGCCGAGCCGGAAGAATACTCTGGCATTATACTCGAATACGATTCATCGAGGATAGGTTCACAGAAGGAATTCGAACCTCTTCACTGGCACTCCTTTGGACCGTAAATGAACAGCTGGCTTACAAAATGTCGCCCACCTACCCGCTTTGAGATGAGACCAGAAATCGGGCATAGTGTAAGGCACACACCCTCGTTCCTTATCAATATCAGGGCTTGGTAGCGGGATGCAGGAGGGCCTCCGGGGTTCGACTCCCCGTGTCCGAATGTCAGCGACGACGGAATTTCTTTTTCAGTCCATTTCCAAAGGAAATTGCTCAAGCAACTCTGCAACCCGCTCTTGACACTGTAACAGTTTGAACTTGAATGTGAAGTTGAACAGCAAAAATTTCAAAGTTCAAAGTGAGTTGTGCCCTCGAAAGCCCGCACAATTCTGCTCACCTGTTGACCGTTCCAGCTGTACCAGAAATCGGGCATGGTGTAGGGCACACACCCTCGTTTCTTGTGGTAGTAGTGAGATACAGAGGGAATCCGGGGTTTGACTCCCCGTGTCCGAATGCACTGGTTGATGGTGGAAGTATTTTGTCTGAACCAACGCCAAAGAATTAAATCACTGCTTCCCAACCCAGGACCAAAGTCTTCCTGCGGTTCGGTTTTTCAACTTAAACCCTTGAACCCTTCAAGCTTCAAGCTTAAGGAGTACTAGTGAGTGCACACAAATGTTCACAAACTTCTACCCGCCTATTGAACCTCATAGTTATATCAGAATCGGACATAGTGTAAGGCACACACCTCGTTCCTTGAGGGGGTTTCTATTCTGCAAGAGGGAATCGGGGTTCGACTCCCCGTGTTCGAATTGTTCGTCGCAAAACTTCTTTTTATCCAACCTCCAAAGGAAATTGCTCAAGCGACTTCGCAACCCGCTCTTGACACTCTGTAACAGTTTGAATTTGAAGTTGAACAGCCAAATCTTCAAAGTTCAAAGTGAGTCGTGCCTTCGAATACCCACACAACTCTGCTCACCTGTTGACCTTTCCAGTCATAGCAGAAATTGGACATGGTGTAGGGCACACACCCTCGCTCCTTAGCATGGTAGCGAGCGAGATTAGGAGGGAATCCGGGGTTCGACTCCCCGTGTCCGAATGCAACGGGTTCAAACATTTCTTTTTCTTGTTTTTTTTCTGCCGACCCACAAGAATGCCCCCCAAATTTTGCTCGTCTATTGACCTTTCCAGCTATACCAGGAATCGGACATGGTGTACGGTACACACCCTTGTCTCTTGTGGGAACCACACAGATCAGGAGCGAATCCGGGGTTCGACTCCCTGTGTCCGAATTGCTCGTTGCAACACTTCCTTTTATCCAACCTCCAAAGGAAATTGCTCAAGCAACTTCGCGAACCACAATCCGCTTTTGAACGTGAAGTTGAAGTTGAACAGCAAAATCTTCAAAGTTCAAAGCAAGTAGTGCCTTCGAATGCCCGCCCAATTCTGCTGACCTATTGACCTTTCCAGTCATACCAGAAATCGGACATGGTGTACGGTACACGCCCTCGTTTGTTGTGAGTATGGTCGCGAGATGCAAGAGGGAATCCGGGGTTCAACTCCCCGTGTCCGAATCAATGCACTGTCAAACATTTTTATATATCCATTTCCAGAGGAAATTGCTCAAGCAACTTCGCAACCCGCTCTTGACACTGTAACATTTTGAATGTGAACTTGAAATTTAAGTTCCCTCCTGCGGAACTTTTTGGGGTTCGGGTACGGGTTGCGGTATTCGCGGTATTGGAAAAATCCAACACCGCACCTGCACCCGCGGCACCCGTACCTGTATTACCACGGGTTTACCTGTACCCATGTCACACACTAAATTTAACAGCAAGCAACCTCTTCTCAAAGTGAGTCGTGCCCTCGAACACCCGCCCAATTCTGCTCACCCATTGACCCTTCCAGCTGTACCAGAAATCGGGCATGGTGTATGGTACGCACCCTCCCTCATTGCTGTAAATTGACACTACGGGAGGGAATCCGGGGTTCAACTCCCCCGTGCCCGAATGTCAATAAATACCCAATCTTTTTTGATCCATTTCCAAGGGAAATTGCTCAAGCAACTCCATAACCCGCTCTTGACACTGTAACAGTTTGAATGTGAACTTGAAATTGAACAAGCAACCTCTTCTCAAAGTGAGTAGTGCCCTCAACTGCCGACATGATTTCCCTGCCTGTTGTTCTTTCCAGCTGTACCAGGAATCGGACATGGTGTATGGTACACACCCTCGTTCCTTGGAACGTTCGCACGACTATGCAAGAGGGAATCTGGGGTTCGACTCCCCGTGTTCGAATGGTTCGCTTGCCGCACTTCTTTTTTCTCCTTCGCCCCAGAAAAACCCGCACCCTGCTCAGGTTTCAGCCAAGCCGGACGAATACTTCTTCTGGCATTCTATAATTAAATTCCATTCATCAAGACCTCGCTTATTACAGGCTTGGTCGCAGGATGCAAGAGGGAATTGGGGTTCGACTCCCCGTGTCCGAATGCACGGTATATGTGATTTTCTTTTTCTTCAACGTATTCAACCCGCTCAGGTTTTAGCCAAGCCGGAATAGTACTTCCTCCCGCATGCCAGTGCCAGTGGTATAGGGCAATCCCATTCATCGAGAATAGGTTCACGGTGACAGACAATTTCTCAGGAATTTGTAACCAGCCTTGAGATACTTCACAGTCAGACCAGAAATCGGACATGGTGTACGGTACACACCCTCGTTTCTTGTGCGGCAAGCAACTTGAACGACATTCAGGAGGGAATCTGGGACTCGACTCCACGTGTCCGGATGTTCGAATGTCCACGCCGACCTAACCTTTTTTTTCTCTTTTCATCCCCCCTCAAAGGAAATTGCTCAACCCGTTCTTAACGCTGCAACAGTTTGAATGTGAAGTCGAACAACAAACAACCTCTTCTTCAATTCAAAGTGAGTTGTACCTTCGAATGCCCGCACAACTCTGCTCAGCTGTTGACCTTTCCAGCTGTACCAGAAATCGGACATGGTGTATGGTACACAGTCGTTTCTTGCGACAAGTAGAAGATGCAAGAGGGAATCCGGGGTTCGACTCCCCGTGTTCGAATGCACTGGGTGGTATATGTGATTTTTTTTATCTCAACAAATGCCAAAGAATCGCTGCTTCCCATCCCAGAACCACCGTTCGACGCTCCTTGGACGCTTGGAATTCAAATTCCTTCTTCGGCGTGAGTGCCTCAGGACTCAGAATGCTCCCCTAATTTTGCTCATATATTGACCTTCGCAAGCATGTTAGATCGTGTATGGTCCGTACCCTGGTTTCTTGTGCGGCAAGCAACTTGAACGAGATTCAGGAGGGAATCAATGGACAATACAGGAGGGAGTATGGGGTTCGACTCCTCGTGTCCGACTATGATGAACTCATTTTTTCCTCAGCCCACGTCAAAAGAAATTGCTCAAGTAACTTCACAGAAACCACCTTAAAGTGGGCCAACAGATCACTGACTCTAACGTGCAAAACCGAGGAACGGCAGTAAAGCCGAAGCGATCCGGAGTGATCGCAGCGAACCCGTAGTGATTGTGCGGTCCAAAGCCGCGATGCCGATGTTGCCGCGCGCATTTTCCGGATCGGATGCCCGAATTGTTACTTACAGCGCGTAGGGGCCGCCAAACGAAGCCAAAGTTCCACAGTTTGTTTGAGGCATGCCTCGGACAGCGCTGCAGTTGTGTTCCCGAATCGCATGTCCTTGCAGCAGGGTCATTGCACGCGCGGAATGCGAAAAGAAATGCACCGAGGACACAGAGGACCGCGAACGCCTCGCGCCCCAGACGGTGAACACTCATTATGGAGACTCGATTAGCGTTACATCACATAAAGACAAGGAGTGTCCCCGAAAGTCAACTCCAACCTGATTCATATTTGTTCGCCAACGATGAAATTAGAGGCTGGGCCACTGACGCCTTTTCAGTAGCGACCATCTTGATGTTGTATTTATTTGGCTTGACTCCGATAGCACGGATTGATTTATACACGCACTAAATCGGGTTTAAAGTGTGTTTACTCAAGTCTAATTGGCGAGGCGAGTCACAACGCGTACGCTCCGTCGTACCGATACTTACCCACGCATTCCCGCCTTCTAGGCCGTAAGTGGAATGCCGACAATATCCACCCCTCGGGTCGCAAGTGGTATTGTCGTACGGGTAAGTCTCACCTCTTTGTCTCGACGACAACGCTTTGACCTTCGCCCCAGTGGCCGGAAGCAAGGTCAATACTCTGCCGCGATGCTTGGGCCTCCAAAGCGCAATGCTTTGTCCTCGTCGCCTTATTTATACCTGGCGAGATGGAGTGAGCTCCCCAGCTCCTCACTCTGTCTCGCCAGGTAAGGAGCTGGGGAGCTCACTCCATCTCGCCAGGTAAGTTCCCATAGATTTCTTACTCATTCTTATCCTCACTCTGTCTCGCCAGTTCTGCTTTATTGCGCACCCACCCTTATATTACATATATTCCCACACCTATTTCCTTTCTTCGCTCGTACCTACTTACTCGCTGTACGCCATCTCGGCATCTCCCTCCGTCTCCCAATAGACTCCCGGAGCCTCTCCGAGGCTGCTCTTTGCTAAACACGTTCGAGCCCGTGCGACAACGACCTCAACGACGACAATTAGAGACTTATTATATGGTTATTATGTAGTTCGAACAAAGCGCCGCCACCCCAAATACGCAAACCCTGCCAGTCCCATGCCCGACCAGCCCCAAAGTGCAGCACAAATTGCGCCGTGGATTGAACGTCTCGGTTCCCACCGGCCCACCGTGACGACCTTGTAGTGGCTCCAGTTCGGGCGCCTCATCCACCACCAAAACAAGGTCATGTATCCCGGAAACAAGGCGTGGATCTTTCCGTTCATTCCGGTTTTGTACCAGGAAACGCAGCTCCCGTTCGACCACACACAACTAGAGAGACGGCGCTGAATGTCACGGTTGTATGTGTCAGATGCTTCCGCCGTAACCTCCATGGACAGTATATCTCCAGCTAAAACCGGTTTGATCAGCTGCAGGATGTATTGTACCTAGACTGATATTTACACAAAAGCTCGGCGTGGTGGTTTGAAACTCACTTGAACTTCTTCTGCGAACAGCACAGATGTGTGCCCGGTCGTTGTGTTAGGACCTAGTTCCGTTATTAGTAGTGAACCGGGCGCAAATGAAAAGTACCTACCAGAGAGCGTGAAAAAGTTGGGAAAGGTTGGAATGCAGGTCCCTTTGTACGCCGTAGGTCCTCCTCTGGCGCGATAGTACTCTGAGATAGTTTCTCCGGTCCCTCTTATATTGATCGGATAATCGTCCTAGAGATGGCTCAAGGACAATCGAACGCCTTCGACATAGCGCTCACCGTTATATAGCCTGTGGCGTAGATGATTACGTCGGCAGCAACTTGCGAACCTGTAAAATGATAAACCCTCCGAAGATCGCAGAATGAAATCCCGACCATCTTTTGTGAGGATACCCTCTTCGCCAATAGATTCGATTGGATCGTATACAAGCGATACGTTTGGGCGCGCCAAGGAAACTAGGTAGTTGGTATCATAAAGTAATCGTTTGCAGCCGAGCTCTGATTCGAAGCGCTAAATTATCGTCACATTGAACGAGACGAGTAATACGCACTGTAATTTGGGTCAGAAGGAATAAGGTAGTCGGCATATTGGGCCGGAGTTGATTCTATCATATACTCTTTGACTAACTAATTTCTCCCTCAGTACGGGAAGTTTTTGAAATCGAGTGTTCACTGTACCTTTTGAATATACGGACTCGAAGTTTGGTTTTCAAATATTGCAAAGTACAACATCTCGTTCTGAAGCAGGCAAGTCAGACGTATGTTCCATGATGACAGTGTGAGGGCTACCCAAAGAAAAAGGAGATTGCGGTAAGTCCGGAGGTAAAGGGGCACATGCCCGAAAAACCACTTTTGCGCGGGCGAATGCATCGTACGCACCTGATCAGCGGTCAGTTATATAAAGTTCGGAAGCAGCATTGTCTTACCGGAGGGAGGATCCAACTCGGTGATCGGCAAAACTGCGTAACCTGAACAGTAGGATCCTCAGAGATAATTGGTACGAATTGAGTTCTATACCGTGATTGGTAAAACAACCCCCGCACAATAGAACGATCACTCACGCTGATGCACCACTTCCAATGACAGCGACGCGTTTCCCAACGAGAGAAATATCATAGTTCCAACAAGCAGAGTGAAAATAGTCCCCTCGAAAGCTTGATATTCCAGGGATGTCAGGAAATCGGGGAATCTCCAAGATTCCGGTGGCAGAAACAAGGATTGTGGCCGTCAACCGAATCAAGGTCCCATCGAGGTCTTCCGTGGCTATATCGTACTTTTGCGTTCCGATATCCCACTGCGCTGACACAACCTTACGGTTGAAAATTATATGGGAGTACAAGTCGTATTTGCGAGCGAGCTGGAGCCAATATTCATGAATCACGGGCTGGAACGCGTGCGAATAGGTCCAGTCCGCTCTCAGCTCCGTCGACAAGCAATAAAAATGAATGGGCACATCGGACGCACACCCCTGCCCGAATGATTAAATTGACGAGAATGCACGAATTGAAGACTCGTCAACTCACGGGGTAGATGTTGTCCTGAGAGAGAGATTAGCCCAATTCTTTCCAATGAACAACGTACGTACTCGCCAAGTTCCCCCCACTTCGCCGGCCTTTTCGAGGATCTGAATGCGTTGAGAGAGGTGAAAATGTGAATACGGAGAGCTCAACCGTGAAATTGGAGACCCCCATTCGCTTGAGTTCGATTGCCATGGTCATGCCACCGATTCTATAAACATGTCAGAGTGCGTTGAAAAATGAGGGAACTAGGGCAACTTGCCCGGCCCCTATGATAACAGTGTGCGGCTGCTCTGAGATATTGGGCGACATGGTGAGGTGTGAGGACGGACGAGAAAGGGCGGACCTGCGGCAACACTAGGCCTCATGTTGAAGCATCAAATGATTGGCGAGTAGAGATGTGCAGTGAAACATCGCACTAGGGTTCCGTACGTTCCGTATTTCCGACCGCCAAGGATCGACGGTCATTATAGCGTTTCGCAGATGTTTCTTCATTATGATTCACTGCTCCACACCTTTCGACCGATCAGAGTCGCGTTCCGGGCCCGCGTCGGCACACCATGTTGAGGTGGGTTAGCGTGGGTTCAGGTACGAGAGACATGTGCCTCGTCCACGCACTGTGCCGAGGCGCATCTGTGCCATGAGCCGAGGGTGCGTGGACGCTGTGCCGACGTAGGGTTTTCTACTTAGGGTTTTCTACTTTGGCTTTCCCGCTTCGCAGCCAACGGCTCTGGGAAATGTAATAATTTTTAATTTGTGCGCCTGGGAAGTGCCTCCGTCAACCGTGAGACCTTTCTCATGGCTTGACGTGCGAGTGCATTCAGCCCTCATCCCGTTTTGCGCCGCCAAAAAAACAAATTGCCATGAATAGTCCATGGAATAAAGACCGGCATGCGAGGTCGAGAACGATCCAGTCGATGGATCAACCGAATTTAGCCATCAAACTCCAGAATCGATTTTGTTCAACCACAATCCAAAGTAACGCGAACTGGGGTTATAAAAAACTGGAAATGGGTGTCTAAGTGCAGGAATGGGTCAGCAAACAAGGTGTAACCCTAGGTGTGCGTCGAGGGGGGTCGGCACACCCTGTGCCGACGGAACGCAGTCAACCGGGACAAAACCGGCCGCAAACCGGCATGGCTAGCGGAGTTTGAATTCGGGTGCCGTACCATTTTCTTATGTGATTCTCTTTGCGCCCAACAGGTCACTAGGTGATTTTCATATTGACCTTATGGGTACCGCACCCTCATTCCGTGAGCACAGCACTCCCTGAATGGAAAGGGAATATGGAAAGGGATACCGGGTTCAACTTCTATCATGCGAGGTACGAGCTAGGTTTGATAGAGTATCTGTCAAGAGAGACTAGTTTCAACTCCCGCTGTCCGAATTCGGTTACTGCCCCACCTCTTTTTCAACCCACTCCAAAAAAAGTTCACTAGCAAAACTCCTAGAAAGAGTCTCGTGAGACTTCAACGTGGACCTGAACTTCTTGGGGTGAACATAATTTGAACAGTTCAACTTCTCTAAGCAAGTCAACACAAGTCGAATCCGAATGGGCGCAAAATCTTACCCACCTATGACGTTCCCGGTTGTACCAACAATCGGACATGGTGTATGGTACACACCCTCTCTTGGAGCTGGCTGTGAATATACAGGAGGGAGTATGGGGTTCGATTCCCCGTGTATGAATAGATTGCACCCAAATGCCCTTTTTGGCTCAACCTACCTCAAGAAAAAATGCTCAACCTCCTTCGTTACTCCTTCGCAGAAATTCTAAGCCATCGCCTGTTTTTAGCTGTATCGAAGCTGTGGCTTTTTTACTACCTCACGAATACAGTTACTCGCAAAATGTTGCCTACTTATTGATCTTCCAGTCATACCTGTAGGGCACACACTGCGTTAGGATCAAGTGTGTGAATGCAAGGGAATGGGTCTCAAAAATACGACTATAGTTAGTGATGCTCTAGCTTTGGCCTGAGGCTTTTTGGCTTGACCTTCGCTTTGGCCGGCCTCGGCTAGGTTTGTCTGGCTTCAAATTTTGTCAGGCCAAAGCCAAAATATCGTCCAAATTACCACCAAAAGCCAGGGCTCAGGCCAAAGCCACGGCTTTTTCGAACGAAGGACTCCGCACATTAGATAATTGTCCATCTTGTCCCGCTGCCTGTAGCGACGCGAACCGAATCGTCTCGGATCCCTGCCAATACTACCCATTCATTTCTTGGATCAGCGAGTGCGGCGGAAATTTCGCACCCTGATGACCTTTTCAGGGACAGCGATAATTGTTGGGATTGCAACTCGCTTCGTCTGAAGTCGTGACCGACTTGCTAATTCAGAGTCTGAAGATTTGGATTAGTGTCGGAACCCAATTGAATTGAAAAAGTCAACCGTGGGAAATCGCCTCGAGTCCAGTCACCGGTTGCCTCGTTCAATTCAATTCTTCTCTGAATTCAACTCCTATAGCACCATTGGATAACCTTCTTCAGCATGCTTCGACTGATACTAAGAACGTGGGCCTCCAAACCCTAAAACAGCGAAAAAATCGGTGAGAATTTAGTCGCCGCTTGTGATGCCCTTAGATGTTCTGGGCCGCACGCCGTCGGATCACCAGTGATACGGTACTACTGGTTCGCTCTGAAACATAGTACTCGAGATTGTGTCCTTGTCTCTTCCTGCGCTCAACCAGGGCTCATGCTGCGGCTTGGCTGCGGACTCCCTCTGACTCGCTGCGGAAGAGGATTGCATCCTGGGCTCTCGCGAAAGTCATCATCATCTGGCGGGTAGGCCTCCGCATCGCCCTGCAAGGCTGCATAACTGCGGTTGTGTATTAATTTTGGCTGCGGGCCTCAACGCCAAATTGGCAAAATGATTTTCCGTTGATCACATAGAAAGTAAAGCAGCCGGACAGGCCGCACCAATCATTGAAATGCACAACAGCAACATCAGATTAATTTCCCACGGTTCGATTGTGTTGTAACTTGGTTGAGTGGAGTCAAAATTATCGCCCTGGCTATACATACCACACCATTCGTCTTTTGCAAACTTCACCCCTGAGATTTTGGTCGCAGTTGAACAGGCCGCAGTCTCTACTCAGCTTCTTCCCACTCCCTGGTTTAAACGGACCCACCGACTCAATCCCCCAGGAAAATTATAGCCTGCTACATCTCATTTCTGGAATACTTACAACTCCCTTCAAAAAATCCAGCCCAGACCTGCAACAGATTGAAATTCACCAAACCTTGGTGGTCGCCCCCTGCTCCTTTCATATTTCCCTCCTCACTCCTTCCCGGCTTCCCAGACTCGTAACTCGCAACCAAGATCTGATGATTGTCCAAGGCCTCGGTTCACTTTCAATGGATCATCCTTCAAAATAGGTGCTAGGTTAGACTCGAAGCAGTCGCTTTTCTGGACGGCGGAAATTGATGATAGCCGATCAATATACCCGCGGAAAGGCGACTGGACCAATCTAACTGGTTGCTACAGAGCCAGAAACATTATTTTCAAAGTGTCCCAAGTACCGGGTTGACTCAAGGAGTGGGGGATTACTTTAGTACATTGTTTTGACCAAGGGGACGTCGGCATTCGAAAATCGGAAGGGGAGGTTGATTTTTTTTTTCTGCCTTGGCTGGACTCCCCCCACCCCCTGCCTGAGATACATATTATCCTTCCTGAGCCTAAGTAAAGTCATACAAAAGTGTCAATTAGACCTGGAGAAACTTTTTGAACCTGCTTCGGGACCGCCGACCGACCACTGTTTGGTTGAAAGTATCATTTCAACACTTGTTCAAACGATGGTTTCTTGGCTCGGGGCCATTTCTGTGTACCTACAGGCTACATGTGGATGAGTCGACATCTTGCTTATGTGTAGGTGAATTTTCATTTTTATGTCATTGAGGTGGGGGTTACCTGACCTCATCTAACCAGGACCTGACGGCACCTGATATGCCTGGATCCGCCACCAACCTGATCAGTACTTAGCAACCCGTCAGGCCTAAATTCGATTTTTCCGACAAGGCCACGATACTGTCCCAAGAACTCAAGCTAATAGCCTTTGAATCCATGGTCGTTAAAGATGAATATACCCCAGCAGAATTTTAGATTGAGAACCATCGGCGCAGCGCACAGTCACTCTCCTCTATTCGGGGAGATGGCGATGCCAAGTCCGAGCGCCGGGAGTCCCGGAGCGGTTTCGCCATTGCCGACAAACGGGAGATCAGTGAACAGCGAAATTTGCGCTTACTACCCTGTGCTGACGATGCTATCCGGATCACTACATAGCACCCGGGTTGATACCACAAACGGAATCTGAAACATCCGTGACTGTCTGGCTGCAATGCAAGGCTGCGGCTTGGCGGACGGCCTGACTCGCTGCGCAAGAGGATTTCGCTCTCCGCTCGCCCAGGGCTCTCACGAAAGTCATCATCTATCGCTCCGCCCAACTGCAGCCCCTGCTGCAGCGCTAGTCGCAGGCGAAATGACTTCAATTACAGCTGGTACCATATTTGGCCGCCTGCCGAATTATTAGTGGCGGTCAGAGTAGACGATTCTGACCGATTCTGACACCGATTCTGACACGATTCTGACACCGATTCTTTGCCGATTCTCGAAAATGATTTTGGCCAGAATCGTGGGAGAATCGCCCCAGTTCTGACCGCCCAATTCAGGTTCTGATTCTCACTCCAATTATGACTCCGATTCTGGGGCTAAAATGTCACAGAAAATGTGAAAACCATGAAATAAGGCTTGTAGGAATTATTCCCGATACTGTGAGGAGGTTAATAATGTACTTGGAAACCTTCCAAACAAGAGCCTCCCCAAAATTGTTTGAAACAAACAGTGTATGGCGAAGAAATACAATTCAAGGCAGGCAGCACTTGAAACAGTTAGTAATTTGTGACGAATCAACGGTTTGTGATGAACGAGAATCGAGAATTGAGAATCGAGCCGAGAATCGTTGTAGAATCGACTCCGGAGTCGATTCGACGATTCTGGCCGATTCTGATTTTCGACGATTCTCGCACGATTGTAATGCCAAATGAAATCCATAATCGGCTCCAGAATCGGGAGCAGAATCGGCGCACAATCGGCTACTCTGACCCAAGGGGGGATCGGGATTAAAATTTCGGACGTGGGGAGGGGGGGGGGGGGTCTGGCCGAGGGCCCAAAAAAACTTCTCCCTATAAGGTATAGGAGGGAGGAAAAAGGCTGGGAGAGGTATGTGAGAGCCACTAGTGAGTGTTAAACACATAAATCTGCTCCCCACTCACCTCAGACGGTGTTGAAGTACTGGTTCCAGCCAAGTTCAATCCAAAGTTGTCCGTGGGTGGGGTCAAAAATATTCTGCAGGTCTACTTAAAGCATTTGTAACACTTGAGATAGTTTTTTAGAGGATTATAAGTGCCTTAAACATTGAAATTGAGTGGCTAGCAGTCGGCCGACGCGGGTCTAGTAGGCGGCGGGAAGACCGGAGAGGCCGGCCCGGCGTTAGGGGCGGGAAACACCTTCCCTATATAGAAGGAGGGGGGGGGAGGGGGGGTCCAGCTAAGGTTGAAAAAAAATTATCGACCCCACATCCGATTTTCGAATCCCGATTCCCCCTTGCTCTGACCGCCACTATCAACAACTCAGTCGACGTTGAGGTAAGGCTCTGGCTCTCGGATTCTCGAAGTTCTCGTCTAATCTAATCTGGTTCCTCGCATCGCCCTAGCCAAGCCCTAGCCTGTCAAAACTGCGACGTCATCCCCCGGATATCATTTGAACTGTAGGAGTCAACTTGATTTCATGAACGGAGATTGCGTTTAAAAGCTCGAGGCAGAGACTGAAGTCCATCGCCTTCGCCCGCTGCCTTTCTACTCCACACCTCTACCAGAGGACTTCAACTTTAATTCCTCACATCCATGTCGACCACCACGATCCCGATAGAGGACAACCAGTACGGCTACAATCCTAGCGAGGCCGCTGGGATAGTGTTCATTGCGTTATTCGGAATCAGTACCAGCACGCCATGTTCTCCGCGTATTTCTTTTACATTACTGATGCAAAAAACTCCAGTCCTCCACATCTCTCAAGCGACCTACTACAAGATGTGGTGGCTCTTCCCGACCGCGTGCCTCTGTGGTGTGGGCGAGCTCGCTGGATGGAGTGGTCGGCTATGGTCGAGCTTCAACCCGGACCTGAGCAACCCTTACATGATACAGTGCGTCGGGACGGTTTTAATCTGAGCGGCCAATATTCATGAGAAACGACCCTCAGAATCACGACGACCATCATCTCGCCCACGCCCCTTATTGCCGTGAACTTCATTCTTCTGTCCCGCATCGTTGAGCGCCTCGGTGCCCAGTACTCGTTCGTGTCTGCCCGCTGGTGTATGTAACTCTTTTTATCTCGTGTAAAGCCACGACTGACAACATCGCGCTGCAGACACCACCGTCTTCCTGTGTTGCGTGAGGACCCTCACATATTGTGTTTAAGAAATACAAAAAATGATTTCTGTCTAGGATATCGTCGCCCTCGTTGTTCAGGGCGCAGGCGGCGGTCTCGCAGCATCTGCAGACACTCGATCAGGCACGCAACGCGTACGCAGCTTTCCCTGCCCATCCACCACGTTATTCATTCATTCCAGGGCGCAAACATCATGCTGGCCGGCATAGTCTTCCAATTCGGTAAGCCTTCGAGTCTTCCTAGTAAGAGAG